CTAATGTTATGGAATGATATTTTCTACTACCAACCACATATTAACAGCCACCTTAGTAACACAGCTACATGAAGAAAAAAACATTTTCGGGGGACTGGAGCAATTTTGTTGCCATTTTCCCTCTTCCTTACTCATTGCAACTGCATAAATTATAGACGGGGTTTTTTGAAGGACAAGATGAGCTATAATTTGATGTGACATATGCATATAGAAATTTAAAAAAGGCAAACAAAAAAAATGGAAAAAAAGCTAATTTTTCAGTTTTGGCAATAATGTGTATATTATTAGTGTAGCTAACAAAGTAAATCATAATAAATTATTTTCTTTGTCCTGATTTATAGGGTATGTCTGGGATTTCAGTTTATTTTGGGAGTTATAGTCCACAAAATACAAGGAATGAAATATAATAGTGTGGAACCATTTTAAAATGTGGTATGTTTGTCTCCTAACTTTAATAGCCTCCTTGCCACTAAATTGTTTATTATTGATTAAACCTTTTAAGTTTAGATTTTTTTTTTTTTTACTTTTTTAAAAATGTAAAAAGAAAAAAAAAGGGGGAAAACAAACGTTTTTTTTTACCTAAGGGGCACTAAAGGATTAATTATTATTATTTATTTTTTTTATTTACGGGGATACTAAGTATCTGAGGAGAATTAGCTCTTCGGTGACCACAGGGCTGGGACACCTTAATCTGCTGTTGAGGGTCTGCCTCAGACACCGAACTATGGGGTTAAGGCTTTTCCCCCATAGTTCTCCTTAGGGTAACGGGAGGACACAAACTTAATCATTTTAACTAATTTTTATTGACTAGAGGCCCCCTTAGGGAGAAACAACAAAACATGAAAGTTAAGATTTACAAATACTCACCATGTAAACATGCTCATATTGCATATAGAAAATACAAATTTTAAACTGTGGTGCCCAACTTACAGCCCTCAGGCACCATCCTGGGCTCTTACTCTAACTGTCTCAAACATGATGCGTGAATAAGGAAAAGCCTGGGAACACCTCCTCTCACTCGGCGTCCCACGCTCATGACGTGGGAATTTTTTTTTTTTTTTTTTTAACACCATATGTGCACAAGACCTGCCGCTCAGTAGCAAGGTACCTAGAACGGCTCAGGCTGGTGAAGCAATATTTTTCGCTTCTGCTAGCTCAATATTTCACTTTCCCCATGCTCTTCCTTTGTGCTGTTCGTTCCATGTTTTCCACAAATCTATCTTGATTTTTAGCAATGGATCTTGCAGAGGAACATCAAATGTGACAACATTTGTATCTGATGACCGTGATCTCTAACAGTCTTTGATTATACGTCCCCGATCTCGGGGCACAGTGGCTGTAAAAGCAATGATCTCTAGCAGTCTTTGATTACGTGTCCCCAGTGTCTCCGCAAAGACGCTGTAAGGCTAGGTCCACACCTAGGAGACACCTCACCTGGTGGCAATCGTGCACGATTCCGCGCAGATTGCTGCGTGGTCAAGGTGTGAACCGAGCGCGCTGTGGGTGCCATTATTTTCTAATGGCGCCCCAGTCATGCGGGGCGGATTGCGCGGTTTCCTGCCGCGATTCCGCCCATGCTTCCGCACACGATTGCGGCTAAAGCAGTCTTTGATTATATGTCCCCAGTCTCTGGCCAAAGTTGCTGTAAAAGCAATAATCTCTAGCAGTCCTTCATGTCCCCATTCTTTGGGCTGTACTCTTCAGCATGTCCAAATCTTGTCTCATAGCGTTACATTCATTTTCTGCAGCCTTTGGTGATGTCAGGGGCAGCACGTAGGGTCCCCTCTTAAGAGGAAATTGGCCACCATTGTCATTTGGAGATCTGTAACAAAGGCTTGCGTGTTACCACAATGACATAACACCTGTAAAGTCACAGGGCAATGCATTACACATGAAAATAAATTCTGCTGTGCCAGGATTGCTTTGGAATGTATATTTACTGAGGGTACATCAAAGAAAGTCAATCTAGGTTCTAGAGCTATGGCAGCAGCCAACCAGTTTCATTTACCCAAACAGCAAAATAGAAGATTTCATTTCAACTAAGCACACTGCTTACAACAAATGCAGCTTTTATACAAAAAAGGTACAAAACATGTCAAGAGATACTTTTAGTATGTGCATGATAACAGATTGTGGAGGAGCGAAGAAACAAAAACACACAATATGCCAAATCTATTCATTGCAGTGGACAGTTCATGGTCATCCTGGGAACAATGCAGGCCTAAAGCTGGGGAGGAAACAGCAAGTCCCAGGTTGGCCGGGTATACTGGAACACCTGCCGCAGGTTGGCCGGGTAGACTGGAACGTTTAGTTTCAAACCAGCTGAAGAACCATAATGTACCCATGATTTGCTCATACATCTTAAAGACAGAGAAGACAACAGTTCACATATTGCTGGAAAAAAAATGAAGGCCTTAAGAGCAACCAAATTTTCCAATTCAAAGCAATCATAGTAGAAAAAAAAAAAAAAGAGAAAAAAGCAGTTAACACAAACACTCAGACTAATGAAAAGCAACTCTTAGTAATTGCTTACCAGGAGGAAAGGTAGGAAGCAGTAAACACTTGGCTCATTTACAAAAACTGGGAGAAACAAAAAATGTGGAAATTGCCCATACTAACCAACTGGAAACCTCAGGTGAGGAGCCCGGCAGCTTACGGTTCTCAACACCCACTTTTATTTCCCCTCCAGTTTTCATACATCAGACCTATTATTTGTTTGAAATGTACCCTCGAAATAGTTTGGACTCCTCCCTTATGAATCAAGAATGCCACTAAGGCAGAGTTACAAGTTAGGTTGCAGAGCTGGCAGTGGTGCTCCTTCAAGAAGTTGGGAGGAAGTATGGAGACACTGCACAGGAAAATAAAAGTCCCTTCCTTCCTCTACCCCAGGGGTGGGCAACTCCTGCCGTCAAGCTGTTGTGGAACTACAGGTCCCATGACGCATTGCAAGACTGACCGTTACCAGGCATGACTGCCAGAGGCATGCTGGGATTTATAGTTGAGGCACAGCTGGAGGGTCAGATTTGCCCACCCCTGGTCTACCCAGATTCTCCCCATTTACCTAACCTTGTGCTGCATTGGTACCACACGTAGTAGATGCTTCATTTCACAATATACTGCAGAAAAAACAAAGCAAGATCAGCATTTAACTGTTCTTGTAGCCCTAAAATGTAAAAGCAGAACGGCCAAGATTCTTAATCTGTGGGCAAGGGTTTGAGCCCCTGTCGTGTTTTTACTGCTGACTGTCTGCATTCCCTTCCCAAACTCCGGGCCTCCAGCTGTGGTGAAGATGCAAATCACATTAGGCATTGCAAGACGACAGCCAGATGCACGATGGGATTGAAAGTGTCACCACAGCTGGAGGACAAAAGTTTGCCCTGATTTAGAGAATGACCCCCCACCAATAGTGAGGATAAACCGGCAACAAGGACATAGACAGCCGTAAGAACAGGAAAGCTTACATTTCCCATTCTATCCACAACTCATAAGAAACCATTGACCAGGAGTTCCACTTTAAATGACTAAACATGCTTGTTATACGTTAGAAATGTATTCAAATGCAATCCTACATGTAAAAGAAGTACCCCACACTATGGTTTTCTAGAAGAAAAAAAGGCAGAAAATGTTAAATATTTAAAACAGATTTTGGTATTTTAAAAGTATAACTGAAGCCTTTTGTTTTTTTAATAACTCCAGGAAAACATTTTCTTAACCCTTGCACGGGGGATATTCTGCACTGCAAGGGTTAAGTGTTCACATGGGTCTAGGAGCTAAAATATCAAAGTTGTACTCACCCAAAGCCACGAGTCGGCCAGCTATCATGGCGCGCCCTCTTGCAGCATTGGAATGTTCCTCAGCGTCCTCACGTCTATACACTGAAGGGAATTTATCAAAACTGGAGTAGACAAAATCTGGCGCAGCTGTGCATGGCAACCAATCAGCTTCTCTCTTTCATTTTCAAATCTTAACTGAACAAAGTGAAGAGAGAAGCTGATTGGTTGCCATGCAAAACTGCCTCAGAATGTTGTCTGCTCGTTTTAATAAATTCCCCCCACTGTGTATAAAACGTGATGATTTTCGGGACCTTAGACCTCTGCAGGAGGGGGAGAGAGGTTCTAAGGACCAGTCTAAGTACAAGCCGGCTGGGAGCATCGGGAGAGTATAACTTTTTTTTCTACCTAGTTAAAAACGGGCAGTTAACCCTTGCAGTGCATGGAGTAGCCCCACTGCAAGGGTTACTAAAATGTCTTCCTGGAGTTCTTTAAACTTTTGGATAGAGTAGGGAAGGGGGAAAACCCCAGTCAGTGTATGTATGTATATATATATACACACATATTGAACAGCTGTCTCATTAGGGCAATTTCCCTTCACTTCCTGTCCTATAGACAACATGAAGAAGTGTGAGGGAATTCCCCTCTTAGTTGTCACAGGAACAAGCGCCCCTATTGGACGGGTTTTTCCCTCTATCTCTGTTCTGTGGCAACTGAAGTTTTTGGATTCACCCCCAATTTAATTTCCAGTGACAGCCATGATTAGGACAACTAGAGAGAATTACCCCAACAGGGACACAGACAGGTTCTTATTTGTATGCTTGTCACCTTCATGGCCCCAAATTGTTGATATCATGATAGCTTCCAATATATGATTTTTCTACTTTGACCTCATTCAAAGCTTTAGGTCTTTTTGGTGAGTGCTGCCTGCCCGTCTGTCTCTGGGAAGGAGGGTCTGGAGCTAAATGGATTTGCCTACAGGATTTATTACTGACATAGGTTTTAATCCCTCACCACTCCATCCAAAATCTTTTTTTTAAAAAGTCTCTAACTTTACAGTATGACCCAGCTGTCAGTGAGTTTACAATCTAAAGGGGCAGCTTTCTCCATATAGAACGTGACTTATCAGATCAGTAACACTGAAAAGTTCCAGCAAAAACAAAGTTCTATTTGCCTTGGAATAAGCCACGGCAATCATCCTTCCGCTGGGAAATTGACGCCCAAACCGCATTTCAAATCAAATCTGAGCAATTTTAATGCACATAAAAATGCTTCATCTTACAAATTGTTTTGCAATCCAAAATGTACAAGAGCTCATAACACAAAAGTAAAAAATGAAAAACGTCAAATGTAAAGAGAGTGCTTAAAACTAAAACATGAGGTTGTGTTGCCACTGGATGGAGGTTACAGTTTTCTTATTGCATCATCAATGTCAGACATTTGTTCCTTCAGCTGGCTCCACTGCTCCGGATTTAATGAGATTCCTACAACAAAAAACACAAGAAAATTAGATAAATCACCTCACAAATAAAAGACACCAAACCCTAAATAAAGGTCTATTCATACCAGTACTTGCATTAACGAGCACACCATAAAGCAAGGTATATACAGTATGTGCAGTGAAGTGCAACTCCGAATGGCACCCCAGTGCACATACACAGCGAAAAACCACACACCTGACCTTCAGCGCACCACAGGACACGGATGAGAATACAAAGAGGGGAATTTATCAAAACTGGAGTAGACAAAATCTGGAGGAGCCGTGTATGCCAACCAATCAGCTTCTCTCTTTCATTTTCAAATCTTAACTGAACAAACTGAAGAGAGAAGCCGATTGGTTGCCATGCACATCTGCTCCAGATTGTCTGCTCCAGTTTTTATAAATGTCACGTGTCCCTTTAAGAAAAAGTATCAGTAATTGATAGACGAGTACCAGAGGGCAAGTACTTGTACTTGGTCTTAAAGTGGTATTGGGACATCCCTAGAGACTACCCTCCACTTCCTGCCCCAATGACAATACTGTTACGTGAAGTGTGGAGGGGTCCCCAAAAGGAAAACCGGCACAGATCTGGCAGGGCTTCTTCTCATTCACATCCTACTACATAGTGTCCCATTACTTGTGTTCGTGTTAGAGATACGTCTCCTCCTTTTCTACCAAGTACCACAGAGAGCAAAGTTATACTCACCAGACCATCTGTGCCAGCTCCCTGCTTCTGTGATCACTGAAGTGCATCTACTCCTCTGCTGCACAGATGGAATGCTCCTATGCACAGTGTATAGAGTGCAAGGACACTAGGATCCTTAGAATGATGCAGCAGAGGGGGAGAGACACTCGAGACACCGGTCTAAGACCAAGCCGGCTCAGATAGTCTGGGGGAGTATAACTTATTTTTTCTTGGAGTTCTTTAAATGTTTTTTGGGAGTTTAATTCAGAACTGAATTTAGGCCAGAACCCACTTTTAAATGAGACTGGAATTAGGCTGCATGCTCTACCACTTCTGGGGATGTGTTCAGTGGCTCTGGCCCATTCCATTTCTTCAGTGAAGATTAGAAACAAAAAACGCAACACGTGGCTGTGTTTAGAATACTTATTAGTTCTCTGGTCGCAGCTTCATGAGTCATCTTTAGCAGGAAGAACACCGGGTTATATTGTCATTACCTTTTCTTCCAGGTTTCATCTCCCCTTGCTGATCCATGAAATATTCTCGAACGTCAATCAGCACTTTTCCTTTGAAGTCCCGGACACTGACGTACCTCATCTTACCAATCTGTAAAACAGTTTTTGAAAGCTTTGTGAGTGGAAGTAAATGTACATCACTATACAGCATTTAACCCTTTCATAACAGCTTGTTTTCCGTTAATAAATGACGCACTTTTTACATTTTTACCGTGGGATTCTTCCACGGCAGAAATATACCTTTCTTACAAAGTGCACCCACACATATTATATATTGTTTTTAGAAGACAGATAGGGCTACATATTTATATCACATATGTGTGCCTAACACCTCTCTTAGTATGAATACAATATTTAAAAATGGATTGAAAAAAAATAAATCTTTTATATCAAGCCATCACTGACTGCTTCACAATTAAATGTTTTAATGATTGGTTATTATTAGGCTGCACCAAACCTAGGAACAGCCAATAACCATAGTGACGGATCCTGTAGCATTTTGAGGATCAGGTCTCACTAAGGCTGGGTTTACACCTGGGGGTTTTTCAGCACTGATCGAAGCGCTGAAAAACGCTCAAGCAGCGAAATCCCATAATTTCCTATGGGCATGGTTCCCACCTTGGCGTATTTCAGCGCGTTTTGACACGCTGAAAAAACACCCTACGCCCTAACTAGTACAGGAGCTTCTTTTGGGGCATATTTCCGCACATATAGCTTTCGTAAATGCGCTTTTGATGCGTTTCGTGGACCGCAAGTCGCGTTAAAAACGTGTGGCCCGAAATGTGCATATTACGAATGCACAGGTGTGAACCCAGCCTAAATGCTTCTGATTGTTCCCTGAACTATCAGAAATCTGATACAATGTTACAACATAGAAATATATTGTTACATATTTCTGTGCTAAAGTATGTAACAAAACTGCCTGTACACATCAAGAAGTCCTGATAGAGCCGTGTGTACACCTTTCTATGATTTCAGGTCAAATACTGGGTGGCTGATAGCGATCCGGTATTTGTAACAGCTAAATTCTTTCATTAATGGATGCATCAATACTGTGGCATCCAATAATAAACAGTAGCCGCTGATTCTGGACCATTTAAATGACGGTGGTAGGTTGTACTGACCAGTCTGAGGGAGTTTTTTTTTCAAGGCTTTAATAGTCTATTTAATAGATGGCATAGTCTACCACTCGTTATCTACATGGGAGCATCTGCGCAGCAATGAAAGTTCTAAAGGGGCACTCCAACCAGGAAGCCAAATACATGCTTAAATTAAGTATATGAACTGTTCCGTGTGCCAAAGCATCAGGGGTGTCCCTAGAGTTTTCTCTGTCTGAGGCAGGCAGATGTATTGGGGTTTGGTGGAGAAGAGGGGGATCTGGTGGTTACACCTCTCCTGCTCCCACCCAGCTCATTGAAGTCACTGGTTGTCAGGAGCTCGGCTAAGAGTTTTTGGCAACCTGGGATGCTCTGGCCAGAAAGGGGGTGGTGTGGGGAGGCAGCAGGCACACCTGCTGCCCCCCACATGAACCAAATAGATGCAAGCGCCTCAGACTGTCTCATTATAGGGATGACCCTACAAAGGATAATTCTATTCAGCCAGTCTTGTGACTTGCACAAACTAGTCAAGCAGATGGCACCAGTATTTTAGCATGGCAGCTCCCTGTGTCACATGATATCAGTAACACTACTATGGAAATACAATCTTTTGGCAGGTAAATTATATGTCTGATTGGAATCTGTCTTCTAAAAGGCTTTCAAATAAAAAAAGAAGACATGTTTACCTGAAACATGTTGTCATCTGCATCGTTCTTGCTCTGTTTGGCAGGTGCCTTAGAACTTTCTCCTGTCTTCTGTTTCTTTGTTGGCTTCTCCTTCTCTGGTGGAGGCTGCTTTTTTCTCTTTGCCTGAAAGGAATAGAAGGGATTTTAGACAAACCAAAAGGCAGCCAAGACTTTGCCAAGTACTACTGGTATCTGAACTGACCATACAGCATAGCTCTCAAACAAACACGCTAAAAAGGTTGTTGTGTGAAAAGTATTAACGGGAAAATGTCAATTGGCTTCCAACTTTTATTTCTGCAGCTCCAAGTCTGAAAATGAACCAGATCCTGAATTCATGCACAAGTCCCTGTTTATGAGCTCTTGTGGAACTAGTAGAAACACACACACGAGAAATTAAATAGATCAGGATCTCTGGGTGGCTGCTCTTTTACAGCATAAAAAGTACCTGTGAAAGTCTGGACAAGAGGGGTGAAGAACTGTTAAGGACAAGGAGATGTTTCAAATGACAACAAAAGAGGGTTCAGTCTTTCTTTTTTCCTTATTCCACATCCACCAGGTTTGGCAGAATTCAGATCTGGTGTCTACCAACATGCTAGTTTTGTGATATACTATCTAGAGACCAGTGGTTCCAAATTTCTCTAGCATGTGTGGCATAACCTGCATGGAGCTTCATTCTGCAAACGATCATATACATTCCAAAGGATTCTTTTGGGGATACAATTTGAATATAAAGTATCAGCGTAAGGTGTACTTGTTTACTCACCTTCAGGTCAACCTCGCTATCAGAATCGCTTCCAGATGAGCTTGAGGAAACCAACTCCTTTGATTTAGGCATGCTGCAGAGTAAGAAAGGGAATGGTTATTACTCAAACTGTTCTGTAGACAAAGTATTTGATGTTCCACAGTAATACACAAGAATGTCTATGTAGCTACATTCCTGCTGCAGATCTGACATATTTTAAGTAACGCTAAACTCTGGAGTTAAATTAAAAATAAATTTTTGTTAATAGTTCGGGTACTTAAATGTATCTTATTTGTGCATCATTCGGCTGTAGATCCTCAAATCATCTCTGAATTGGTGCTGACACTGTCATTCCTTCCGGAGGGGGACTACTTTTGTTCCCCATGGTCCCTGTGTGTGCTGTAAAGTAGCCACCGCTCCAAGTTCACTACTATGATGGACTACAATCTCAGTACGAATCAGTAAACTAAACGTGCGATTGTAATACATCACAGGAGTGAGCTTGGAGCGGTGGCTACTTTACAACACACACAGGGACCATGGGGAACAAAAGTAGTCCCCCTCCGGAAGGAATGACAGTGTCAGCACCAATTCAGAGATGATTTGAGGATCTACAGCCGAGTGATACACAAATAAGATACATTTTGAATAGTTTGTTACTAGCTTGTGTTACCACTATTGAACTTTCCTTCTGAAAACAATAACTGCCTGGTTGCTACTTTTATGCAAAGGCTTTAACCCCTTCATGACAGCTTGTTTTTAGTTTCTGTTCGTTAATGACTGATGCACTTTTTACATTTTTGCTGTGTGATTCTTCCACGGCAGTAATTTCCTTTCTTACCAAGCCCACCCACACATTATATATTGTTTTTTTAGGGGGCAGATAGGGTTATATCTTTATATCACATGTGTGTGCCTAACGCCTCACTTAATATGAATAACATATTTTTAAAAAAATGTAAAACATTTTTTTTTAAAAAGGAGGAAAAAAACGTAACGCAAACACCTTTTTCCTAGTTTTATGTTTTTTTTCTTTTAAATCGCACAGCTAAAAATAATGCATAAAAATCAATGTATTTATTTGTCCATTTGGAAACAGCTCACATCCCCAGGATTTCAGAAATGTTTCTGTACTTTTTAGCCTAAAACTAAAAGCTAACATTTTATTTTTTTTTCTCTAAAAACTAATAGTGGTTAGGTGCCCTACAATGTCACTGTCATTAAGTGTCATAACTATCACACTTAGAGACGACGGCATACTTTGAGCAAAGCAGTCATGAAGGGCCTAAATTTAAAAAATTAACCCCTTAGGGTGAAAAACAAATCTGCATCTCAGCTGCAGAAATTCATTGCAAGGGGTTCATTTTTTATAATAATTATAGCATAAAAATATCTTTATATATATTTTTAATTTGTTATATCAAGTAGTCACTATGATTGCTTTCTACTTTAATTAATTTTTGGTTATCAGGCTGCTCCAAAAAAAGGAACAGTCAATAATAACCTTTAGGGACTGATCCTGAGCATGGCAGGATTAGATCTCACTAAAGACTTCTGATCGTCCTCAGAATCAGAAGTTTGATGCATTTCAGCAAACGAAATACATTGTTTCATATTCCTGGCAGAAGAATGTATTGTAACAAAGGCCTATAGACATGGGACTTGCCCCATGTCTATAGAGCTGTCAAAAGTGAAATAGCAGAGCAGCTAGTCATGTTCTGCTTATCTGTATTCTTGGACTTCACTAGTTATGTGCCTACTGCAAGAGACTAAAAACATGTTTTTTTATATTTGTGACCCTGTACCCCAAGAACTACATTCATGCCCACAGGTGACTGATCCAGTTTCTCACTAACAGCTGCCTGGGCTGTATAGCAGTTTGATTATATTTAAGATGTGTGCCTGAAGCGGAATTGAACCCAAAAAGGGAAGATTTTCTTTGGTATAGGGAATATCGAGAAGTGTTCATTGTGCCTAAGCAGTAGCCTAATAAAGTTACTTTTTTTTATCTGGAACATCTCCTGAAATATAGTAGTGCCCTTCCTGATGCGAGCGTGTACCTAGGCACGTCTCTGTCTACAGCCTCACAGCTCTAGACCTAAAGTGTTAAAGTGATATTAAAATGAGTCATTTTAAATGCTGATGAAATCACTTACAATGGATGCTGCTCCTTGATATTAAAAAGTTTTAGTTTCCTGCAGAATCCAATTGGTATCCTCAGTACTGGCCCTGATATTCCATATTAGGGTGGCTCCTTGCCCTAGAAGGGTCCTATAGAGCCCCCCGGGTGCATGATAGTAATCTGTGCGTCTCTCCACAGACACTGCAAGACACCCACCTCACCCTTCTCCAAGCTAGTAGATAATCTCTCTGTCCCTTGTGATCTTGTACTGAACAGGAAATTCAGAGAACCCAAGCTAAGAAAGTTGGAGCCGATTGGAAACATAATCGGAAGTGTTTGGGCAAAAATCTAAAGAAATACTTTGCTACGCAATCCATATTTGTTTGATCTGAGGGTTTAACGCTACTTTAAAAAGGAGAATTATGAGGTGCGTGATTTTCACTCAGCCTCATAATCTGAGCCGACCTGTGACAATGAGACTGTCACAGGTCAGCTCAGTAGATCGGGAAGTGAGCGAACACATACCAGCGCTCTCGCTCACTTCTCGATCTATCCGTGCAGAGCCGTGACTGTCACTCACGGTTTCCTGCAGGGATTCCCCCCCTCCCGTCCGATCCTCCAGCGCTGACTGGCGGAAC